GGTCTAATGATGCAGAGGCTCCTGCTACACTGTTTGTCTTGACCTGCATTTGTTCGTGTGTATAGGATAGAAGGGTCAGGTTATCTGCAAAGTGCTAATCGTCTAGTTGCATTCAACCTGTCCATTGTATTTCTTGCTTCCCATCAGATGTCAAGGTCTTCATAATCTAGTCAACCATTAGAAGAAAGAGAAAGGTGGAGAGTATTAATTTAATCAGATTATGATGAAATTAATGACATACTCACATAGGCCACCCCAACTATTCGACCACAGTTTAGTCGAACTGATTACATCATATTCTTATTTATAGAATATGTTAAAGCTTCTATAAAATGATCCATAAGTAATAAGTCCCTTTACCTATTTCCATTTTGATTTTCTCATTATATTCTCTTATTAAATACATCGTATTCTAAACAGTTTTTATGATCTATTATTTTCAAGAAATGGAATAAACTTCTAGCTGACAAAGCTAAACAACAAGCTAAACGATGTCAATATGATGCAAATGATCCAAATGATTTTATTATTGGTGATTTTGAATCGATTGGACAAAATCTAGGCGATTATCCAACAATTGAACGGTAGATTTATAATTATGTAATATAATTTAACTTGATTACATTTTATAGAGCAATGAAAGATTGGTTAGAAGAACATAAAAATTATGATTTTAAAACGAATACATGTAATGGAGATTGTAAAAATTATAAACAGGTTTGTTTTAATTATTACTAAATCACATACATTTAATGATTTAGAGATTGGGTATTCGTGTACGAAACCGAAGGTCCTAGGTTCGAGTCCCCTCTGCCAACAACATCCTCTCCTCATTTACACTTAGTACAGTTGTATACATATATGCATACTAGACAAACAAGTCTGTACAACACAACTTCGTGAGGGTTGTCCGCTCTCTCCATTCTTGTTTAACTTTATCGCAGACGTGCTATTAGAGTATAACAAATTCCTCATCTAAATTTCCAAGAGTTGAACTTTTACCGGGAGATTTACATGTTGACTTAGAATATTCCGATGACATAGTTCTATTTGGTGAGGACGCTGACAAAATGCAGAGTCTTCTGACCATTCTAAACAACAATGCAAGCATGTTCAAGAAGCGATTCTCCCCTCGAAATGCAAAATGTTGCTTCAGGATTGGGTTGTATAGACACCCAATCTAATGATAGGCAGTGAAGTAGTTAGGCATGTCGAACACTTCACTTATCTTGGGAGTCTCATCAACGCTTGTGGTCCGGTGTGTGACAAAATCTCAGCACGGATACAGAAGGGTCGACTAGCTTTTGTAAACTTGCGTCATTTATGGCGCAGACGAGATATCCGTCGTTACTGACTGACTTTTAAAATTGGTTGAGCACTTTAATTAGTATACGATCACATTTCTACACTATACTTCTGTTTTCAACTCTCTTTTATAATCACTTTTTATAAATAAGTTTACCGGCGTTAAAAGCGACATATATTAACTAAAGGTAGTGTACCACAATAAGTCGTTCTTTCATATTTTCGTTTATTAATATCAAAAGTTTTCCATCCGATTTACTGTATGAAGAGGCTACGTGCGTTTGATATTGTTCGATAGTTACTTTGACGATTTGTAAACTAATATATATATTGCAAATTATTCTTTTGTTGGGGTATTATTCTTTGAGCTGGATGGTTCGGTCGTGCATGCTTTCACCGTCGTTGTTAACAACGTCATCAGCGCAACAACCAAATCAATGGGAGATACAATCAAAATAAAGAAGTAAACAATGACATGTTGAAGATTAACAATAATTAATCAAGATTGAGGTCTACAGGACAAGTCGGGAGTCATATGTTGAAAAATTCCATCAATTCATTTCTACTTGAAGTTTGTGCTGATGATGTTGTTCAGAAGGATGATGAAAGCTCCACTATCAAGCTATCTAGTTCAGAGAACAAAAGTCCACCTGATATACGAATCTTCAACACCATCTCAATACTATTCTTTATTCTTCCCAATTATTCTTTCCCGGGCTTTTGATGAAAAGGTTCGCTGTCTTCCCCCATAGTACTGAAGTCGATTAATAAGATATGTGGTGAAACGTTTGATCTCATTATGAATATGGTCGTGGACAGACATTTGAGATATTCTTAACTAATATCAGTCGTTACTTTATCTCCTTCCAATTTTTCAGATGGTTTGGAATACCACTGAAGCAATAGGCTGCGGTTACGAAAAGTGTGGAAAGAATTATTTGATTGTTTGTAATTATGCACCAGGGTAAGTGATTTTCCAATAATAAGTTAATAATCAATGTGTTGGGTTTGTTTTTCAAATTTATGATCACAGTGATGTAATTTCTACAGAATGTTGATTTGATAGTATGATACAAATTGTTACATGGAAGAGAGAGGGAGAAATCTTATCACCGTCTAGTCTTTCTTCACAGTATTAATATATTGGAAGATTTTTCTGATCTACATGATGCTTAGAAAGGGTTTGAATCAGACTGTTATTGACATCCAGTCTTATTTAGCATATGTGGATCATATGTGGATTGCCTCAGTATTGTCACTGTTACATATTTATTGTGACTGGAATTGAAATCTAAGAAGCACGTTTCATCTTATTTGGTACCCATCGTCTGGATACACCTACATCTCAGTGTCGAAGTTCACGCTAGAATTCGAACTCAGCATCGTTGGCTGTTAACATCAACATACTATCCACTGAGCCAAATAGTCTCGATAAACATTAAGATGTTAATTCTTAATTGACACTATTTGAAATATTCTTTGATGTTTTAAATCAACGGCAAATCAATGAATGATAACATTAACTACGAAATTAGTGGGATGTTCTTTCAAAGCTTCATACTAAAATCTCATTCTTCATACAATGATTAGAGCAACATAACTATCATTTAAAATTGATAAGAATCTAACAGTATCAAATACTTGTCAAAAAGTATTGACGTAATAATGAATTATACCCTATAGGAATTTAATGGTGAGAAAGTATCAGTACATTGAAAAACTATACTGTTATCGATCAGTCCGTTATTACTAAGAAGCGATTACAATTGATTGATCACTGATTAGTGATCAATGTCATGTATGTCAGATACTTTTTAGTGCAGACAGAATCTTATCGACCAAACTGCAATGTGGTCATTAGTCTATGTAACTCTACATTGTGTGCACTATGCTGAGATAAGACGGTTACCACTAACTGTAAATCTGGGTAATATGGGATAGAATTTATCAGAGAGCATCAGTTCCATCAAGATTACAGGTACATCTTGCTGACGAGACCACGAAACGAAGGTTCAGGGTTTTCTGTTGACTACCTCTAATTACCATCTTACAAAAAAGCAACCTAATAATGACGATCATTTCGATAGACTTCACTGAAATCTATTATGTAAAACGATAACATTTTCGGTTTTCACCGATAACCTTGAAACAGTTTTCATTCTGAAAAGGTTAACAGTTAAAAAGTAAGGGGAGAAACCCACTTGCGGTTCTTTGATTGTATCTTTCTGTTGTTGTTTAGGATTGCAATTGATCAGTCTCTTATTGGCATGTGTACATCCTGTGCGGATTCCCTCGATATTGCCTTAATTCACCAACTTTATAAGTAAGGATGGATAGTGGCTAGCAGTGGAATTTAGGACGCGCATTTTATTCTATTTCCGAATCATCAGTTGATTGTACCTGCATCTCAAAGTTGATATTCTCTCCGAGATTCGAACTCAGTACCGTTCACTTTAAACGCCACTGCTCTACCCATTCAGCTACTGAGTCCTGAAGCGAACAGTACTGCGTTCAAGTACCGGAGTGAATATCAACGTTGAGATGTAGGTAGATCCAGTTGACGAGTCTCAAATAGGACGAAACGTCTGTCTTGGATAATTTTGTAAATTGTGATGTTTGTTTATATATTTTACTTTTTAGTGACTCTGAAGAAAGACCATATGAGGCTAAATCAGAAAGTGAATGTAATAAATCAGAATAAAATTTGTGAAGCAACTTAGATCTTATTCATATGTAATTGACAAAATATACATCTTTCAATGGGTTATTAATTTTGTTTATTTTACCTTTCTTACAATGATAATAATGATGAACGTATATTATACAAGATAGACATTGAAGATCTACTTACTTACTTACGCCTGTTACTCCTCGTTGAAGAGCATAGGTCACCCACCAGAACTTTCAATCCAACCCTCTCCTCGACAATCGTTTCCAGCTCTTTCCAGTTATTATTCATTCTTTTCATATCTGTTTCTATTTCCCGACCTAATGTGTTCTTTGGTTTTCCAATTTTCAGCTTCCCTTCAGGATTCCAAGTTAGCACTTGCTTCGTCTAGAGTACAGTATATGAACAACCTTAAAAGAACCAGATTTTAGATAGTTAGAAAACGACCTTCGTTAATGGATAGATTCTGGAAAATAAAGTAATATTATTGCAAGGCCTAAGCAGATGAATCTACGAAGGCCTTCTACAGGTTACTTTGCCTAGAAATAAATAAAAAGAATGAATTTCGTTCTTATGGATAAAGATTACACTTCTCCCTGAACCCTTAAATACTGAAATAGATTTTTAGCATTCCTCACACTCTTCTTGATTAGAATTAAATAGTTAGAATGAGGATTAGGATTTTCATCACGAATTGACATCAGCTATAATACTAACATGCTTTGTAGTTGTATGGATGAATTTACTGGTGCAAAAATGCAAGGGACTCTATCTAATTAGTTCGTTCAGGGATGGTGTAGACTTCCCGGAGGTGCAATCTATGGAGATGCCACTGACCATTCGATTAGTTTGACAGTACCGTTGTTTTCTGCCTAAGTTCCCAATTCTGGGGAAGCTGCTATAGTAAACTTTGGGGAAATTGCACAAAAACCCCAAAATTTACCCAGACCTGGGGAAATTTCCCAAAATTCCCCTTTAACCTTGGTCAAGGTCATTTGACTTTGGGGATTTCCCCGAAATTTCCTCGGAATTCCCCAAAAGTTCCCCAAACTTCCCCCAAACATTGATGAAGGTCATTTGACTTCGAGAGTTTCCCCAAAATACCCCAAAATGTCCCCAAAGTTTCCCAAAATTTGACCAAAATTGGGAGTTTGGGTGTGGTTGAAAAGGTAAGTTTTTATTACAATTTTATACACTTTTAGCAGTATACACAGATATTTCGACGAGACTATAATTTATGAACGAACCAATTAGATATAAGATTACAGGTCTCGGATTTCGGCGCGAAATTCACTCAAACATTTGGCTAAATAGAGTTTTGGCATTATAGCTGATGTCAGTTCGTGATGAAAACCCTAAATGTAATTCCTTACCCTAACCATCAAATGTAAATCACAATCTTTATTCTTCCTACAGGTCTATATCCATCATTTAGCTCTAGTAAATAGGTGGACATTCTCAATGTCACTTTAGTGTTGCTCGTAAGTCGCCCATAAATTATAATCTTACCGATATTTCGACTGTTCGTCATATGAGATGATTGAATTTTATAAAAAACCCTAAAAGTTAAGCTCTTCGTCCTGACTGACTGATTCGTCTCTATGCAAAACTTGTGTCATAATAACCTAAATTAATGGTTGTTTTGGATGTCAGAAAAGGGGCATCAGCCTTGTGACTTTCGAAGGAACATGGCTTTCACTATGAGCTATCATAACTCTTCTAAGTGAAGATCTTCTAACTCCCAGGATAGAGTTTTGAATTATTTTTTCTAGTTAGTATTTTTTTAGCAAGTTAGTTTTCTACGAGATAGGGTTGTTAATCCCATGTCCAACCCTCGTCCTTTATCCGAGCTTGAAACTGGCAGTAACCACAGAAGGGCTTCAGGCGGCCTATGCTCCATTGTGAGTAACAAGTGTAAGGAAATAATATGATATCTGTCGCTAGAATCCAGGATGTTTATACGTCACAGTAAACATGTTACCACTTTAAGAAGTGATGAATTAATCATTTCTTAAATGAAAAATTATCGATATTTACTGACAATATGATTCTCATTATTTAATCAGTAATAAACAACGACTATTCTAGAAAAGATATCAAAGAATTCGCTTTGAAAACTCTGTAAGTTATACATGATCTAAACCTTCAACAACTTGATTATCCAGTCACAAATAGAGTAGATCCAAATTTGGTCGCATCGCTGAAGTCACTGTGAATCTACTTAGGACGATGATTAAAACGTGATAAATTCTTATTCAATAAATACAAGAACTATAGTTGTTAGCTGAGAACGTAACTAAATGAGTGTTCATTTGTGTCAATGACCAATAATCAATCTGGTCATAGTAATCTTCCTTATTTAGCTGATGTTCGACTAGGCTTGTATTTATCTTAACGTGCTCAATATATAGAAGAACTGAGGTTACGAAATCCTCAATATTATAAAATTCTCGAAGTTCTGGTGAGAAGCCGTGACTAGTGGAGCTAACCCGTGTCGGGTAGAAACAGACGTCTACCTCAGTACAATGGAAGATGGTCACGCAATTTTGTGGATTGGTTGGGGTTAGACATTAACACCTTTGGATGCTGGCTCAGTGGTCTAGTTGGTTAAGCGCCTGGCGCGAGACTGATAGGTCCTATGTTCGAATCTCGCATGTGGGGTCGTGGATGCGCACTACTGAGGAGTCCTATACTAGGATGAGACGGCCATCTATTGATTCCAGGTTTCCTATGGTGGTCTAGCTTCAATCGACTCATGAATTTAATCAAAAAAAATTAAAACGATTCGATACCCTTGATATATCACCTTGTCGACACGTCAAACACTGGGAATTCAATTTTGTTTGTAGCAAAGCAAAATGGCTATTCATACGATAAGATATAAGACGGTGAAGCATTTAATCAACTAGGTCTCCAAATAATTTCTAAAATAGGTTTAGAAAATTAGAAAAACACTATATCGGACAAAGCGGACACCCTGTTCATCTTCACCTGCATGAACATTAATTAGAGATCAAACACCATGACATATCCTCACTTATATCAATGCAAGTGGACAACTGCGGATATGCATTCAACTGTAATAATGTGGGAATCTTAGATAAAGGGAATTCTAAAAAAACACCAGAGAATTTTTAGAAGCCTGACACAGGTCAATCAGCAATCAACAAACACATTGGAATTGATTCAATTTATCAAACAATCAAAAAAATTATGAACAAATATGGGACCAAGAATAAAATCAATGGGAGATACAGTCAAAATAAAGAAGTAAACAATGGCATGTTTGAGATTAA